ACGTCAGAATGGGAGTTTTTTTCATAATGTTTCAACAAAGCCAAACAGCAACTTCCTTCTTGCTGCTGGTGAAGTGGCCAGCCGTGTGAGGTAAGCTGAGGCTCCCAGGCCTCATGCAGCGGCTTGCTGGGTAGGACGGGAGATGAGGAAAGGCAGATTTGCTGCTTGCGCATGTTCCAGCTATTCTCAGAACAATTATTGAGCCCAAAAGGTTCCTTCCCTCCCTTTTGAGAGACACTGCTCGTTCATGGCTGTGTACACATGCAATAGTCTTTAGCCATGAGCTTTCTCCAGAAGCAGAAAGCAGAATGAATGTTTTGTGCCAACTCGAGTCCTCGGTAGTATTCATAAATTCCCTCTCAAGGCCAAAGTCCATCTTGTCTGTCCTGGTTTGCATTTTCAGTGCTTCTGCCTGGGTCTGAGAGATGAGCAGCTTCACTTTGTCCATAGATTCCAGCATGAAACTGAGACAGGCCAAGACACTTCAGTCTTTGGAAGGTTCCCTCTCCGTGCCTCTGTGGGCGCACTCAGGAAGCAGAGCAGTGCTAAACTATTCCCATCCATCTAGCATAGGGTCCTCCCAAACAAAGTCAGGTCAGCTGCCTTGCTGGTAAGCACTGAGACCCCCTGACCAATAATGTAACGACAGCATCAGAGGACCCCTATCCCTCTCCGCGTCATCGGCAATCCCTCACAGTTGAGGAAGACCATCTTCCACGCTTGCCTTATCTGTGGTCCCAAAGACAGCTGATGAGGCCAATGCGGGATTGAAAGGTCCTAATGCAACTCAGGCACATGTTTCCATGTGGGGCGGGTGGCTCTGGATTCTCGGTTCGGTCTGCGACACGCTGCTTCTGCCACTTTTCCATCTCCTGTTGTCATCACAAGGTTTCAAAGTGCTGAGATCCTTGCAGCAGGTTCAACAGACAGGTTTCCCTCACTTTATGCTGTGCATGAGTTCCTGGAAAACGGCGCGTAACTCGAATTCGCATAAAGGAAATCCACTTTACAATGGAACAAATAGGGATACGTTGCAAGACCTCAACTGGACTGACCCCCAGACTCATTTCTATCACTTTTACATGACAATTTTGGTACTCACCGATGGCAGACAGTGCACACAAGCACAGGGGGGTGGTGAATGTTTAGTCAGTAGGAAGAGAGGGTGGTGAAGGCTTCATTGATGGACCAGGGAGAGGGGTAGGAGATCAGCTAGTGGGACACTTAGAAGCCATAATGGGATGGCAGCTACAGAAACACGTGTTGCAGACAGCAAGCAAGAAGCACAGATCCACACAGGAGACTGTATTTTGGTGCTCGTCACTCCCACAATCCACCGCAGAGCAGTGGACTGCAGACAGCCAATCGCATAAGAGTGAATTTATCTTGCACATAACAAACTTTTGGTATAAAAAGGGTCATCGCATAAGAGCAAATTCGTACATACAGAACCCACATAAAGTTAGAGACACCTGCACCACCAAGAAGGAGCTGTCCTGGCTGAATCAAACACAGCCAGTGACACAGGGGCCACCAGTGCCTAAATCAGTCATCCCTTTTCTGTTGTTGCCATCCTTCAAAATCCTTCATTTTGAAAAATGACTCTGCTCCTCTGATCTGCTATCCAGAGACCCAAGGGTGCAGGATGCGGGGAGAAGGGATAGGATGGACAGAAATGTCACTGTACCTATTTCATGAGAGCTTGGGTGGAATCCAGTCCAGTGCCTCTGTTTTTAACATAGAGAACTCCCTCTAGTCTCACTGTCTGAAAGACAAAAACAGTGCACAGTAAAGCAAACAGAAGCATACATCTCTGTTACAAGAAAGCAACATCTGGGGCTTACCCCACAGTCCACTGCAGGGAACCAGCCTCCAGCTATGGGGGAAAGTGAGCTGGCTGACTTAGGGTGCAGGTCTTTTCCTCTCTAATCTGTATGAACCTGTAATGCAGGGGCGGGCAATTATTTTGGGCAGAGGGCTGCTTACTGAGTTTTGGCAAGCATGACAGGCAGCCAGGGGCAGATAAATATTAATTTTCTACATTTTTTAGGGGCCCTGCAGGCTGGACAGAATGGCCTAGTGGGCCACATCCGGCCCACAGGCCGCATGTTGCCCACCCGTGCAGTGTAATGACTGGGTGACAGATGCTACAAAGGCATAAACACCAGGATGGAGAGGAGTTATTCAGGGTGGTTCAGAATATGGCATGGAATCCAAAGACAAATTTAGTCTTAGTTTTGCTAACAGTGAGATCCATTAAACTGGAGAACAGTTTCCTAAAGGACCTGGTAGAAACCTTCTTGCTTTCCAGATGCAAAAGTAGATTGGGAGGATTAGTAGGGAATGTTATAATATTAATTAGCACTTCCAAAGTACTGTCCACCCTGCAATCTCAGCATGCCTTATAATGAAAGCTTCACAAACCCACAGGAAAGCAGGGAGATATAACCCCATTTTGCAAACAGATTTAAGGGAAGATTTTCAAAGACAAAGATGGCCGTTAAGCATCTATTTGGCTGCAAAGGAAACTTGAATTCTTGCATTTCTTAAATGCCAAGTGCCTGTCTTCACAAGCCTAATAATATTATTTTAGTGTTGCTGCTGGGTGTACAATGGCATTGGTTTAAGGACAAAAATTGAAAAACGGTCTATCCAGTGGCACTGTGCTAACATCCACATAGATAATCAGCATGGTTTGAGCCTTTAGGTCCACAGCACAGACTGAGAACACTTGAAGTCCCTGAGTAATCAGCGGCTGTAACTGGATGTCATCCTCTGCATGGGCCAGAAGTAGAAAAAAGTGAGATGCACTTTGCCAAAGTTTTCACAGATATTTGCTAACAATAGAGCAGTAGTGATACTCAGGACTCTGAGGGGGATCACGCTCCACTAGACCCTGACTCTTCAGATCCTAAACCAGGCCAGACATCGTTCTACGCTGTGTCCCTGACCTCTCCCTGTGCTGCCCCTGACTCTTCCTCCCAATTCCACCTTCTTTTCTAGCCAGTCCTACTTTCCACCTCTCAGACGTCTCCTCCCAGTCCCAGTCTCCTTGCTGTATAAATCCTAGTGCCAGCCTTCTCCATGCTGCCCACAACTGACACTATGCCAGTGTCTTGGCCCATTCAAGTCCTCTCCCCATGCTGTGGCTCCTTGCAAGATATGTCTCTCCACCCCTATTAGCCCCATTTCCCTGCTGTCTAGTTCTCATACACTCTTTGCCCAGAGCTTTCCCCTGGGTTTTCATTCAACTGGCATCTCTTTCCTACCTAGTTAGTCCTGGTCCCTGACCTGTATATGCAGCCTGGCCCAGTCCCCGATTCTCAGTCTTACCCTTGCCAGCTTCCAGTTCCAGTTTCCCACAGAGACTCTTTGTTCCCCATCTATCATCTACCCTCTCCACCCCTGCAAGTCTGAGAATTGCCCCCCTTCATTCCAACCAGTTAGCATTGCACCTGGGCTTACAGGGGAACCATTAAAAGCACAGAAGAGACAAGTAGCACAGGGCAGAAAATGCTTTTCCTAGCTTGGGAAAATTTTTGAGCTTTCAAATCTTTGTCTGAAATAAAAATGGAAAACTGAAATCTCTAAACTTTTCATGAAACAACAATTTGAGGGAAAAATCAATTTCCTTCTGTTTTTGAAACCCCCTATTTCAAAGTTCACTTCTTTTTCTATTATAATTAACTTATATTTCAAAAGCAATTATTTTCAACTGAAAAGCCATGTTTTATTCTGAACCTGTGGGAATGGGCCATCTGCATGATTTGGAAACTTTTTTCCCAAAATATTTTGAACCAAGACACGTATTGAAATTGTTCCTCTCCAAGGAACACTTTGGTTTCAACCAACTGATATTTTTCAACAACAAAAAGATTTCTTACCTGGTGCAGAGATGGGCTTCCCCTGCCCTCTGTCCCAGGGATCTGACCTGCAACAACCCAGAGCTGCCTACAGGTACCTTTGGGGGCGGGGGGGTTGTTGGCTGGACAGGAGTTCATTCAATGCCGATGGAAACCTTGGGGAATGTAGCTGCTAAAATCTACATTGCTACGGAACATGTGTAAAATGCAATCTTGCAAAAGGCATATAAACTTGGCAATATTTCAGTCACTTTTTACATGGATTGCATAAAGCACAATCCCAGATTCCTATGACACCCCACTGCCAGCTTTCAAGCCCTGGCTCCGAGCAGAGGGAGACACTAGAGTTTCCCAAAGAAGTGACTGGTGGGATTTTTTAACATGGGCAAAAAAAGTTATTTTTCTATTAGCCGCATTTTTGGAAAGGGATGAACTGTTTTATCTGACCTTTTCCTAATAAAAACAGGAAGGCTGTTGAAGAAGGCACCCAGTCAGGAAAATTTCAGCAGAGACAGTGAAAATATGGCAAAGTTACAAGCAGCTGAAAAGAGGGTCTTATAATTGAAAGTGTCAAGCAACCTTAATAACAGGTAGTGTTATCAGAAATTAGTTCAAAAGCTAATAAGCAGAGTTTCCTGAATTTTGGGAACAACTTGTTCTGGAACTAAATGAATCCAGCTATTTCCACTGTGCTGATAAAAAGAAAGTGTGAGCGTTTGGGTGGTTTTTAATTACTAGTAGTTGAATGCTCGGCCTCTCTCTATAATGGTCTATTAGGAATCTTTATAAAAGGAGGGCAAGAAAGTTAGTGGGCTGTTTTTCAAGCTTTTCCTTATGAAATGAAATGATGAAGTCTTCCTTATTTAGTCCATCACATTGCTTTGTAAGAGCAACAAACAGCTCAGTGGTCCTAAATATCCTTCTTCTCCAGGCCTTACCAGTAATTTATAATGCTGCAGTTCCCTCCAGGCTCCATCACAGAGGTCCCTGTCTGAAGGTGGCTGTTTTAAAAGACAGGGTTGGCTCCCACTGGAAAATGTAATGCACCATAACTGCTTTGCAATTGGATGGGATGGACCAAGAGCAATGCCCCAGCTCCCACAGGCAGAAAGAAAAGGCCTCACCATGTAACAGACCTATTTACAGTGTCAAGGGCCAGACTGTGGTTAGGCATATGGAGGGACACAAAGGATAGAGAGGAGAAGGGCCCTCTAGCTACTCTTTCACACTGTGACAGCAGTCACCATTGCACCTGTAGTGCTAGGCATGGGGGAGGACAGCCATGCTTCCTATCCCTTTCCCCACCTGCTGACCAGGAGCGGGAAGCCTATCCTGCACCTTCCTACAGGGCAGCACAGCAGCCGCACTGCACCATACCCCTTCTTCCTGTCCCTCCACCTGCCTGGTGCCTCTTCTCCCTGCCCATCGCTCACTCAAGGCTGCTTAGCATCCTTCCCCCTCCGCTGCTGCAGCACTTGCCATCCCACCATTGCTGCACACGCAGGTTCTGCTGGCTCCCCAGGTCTGCATTTGTGCTAATTGTGCATGGCTAATTCGGGCTAATTGTGCATGGGGATAATTCAGGGTTTCAAAGGCAACATAGCATGCAATTGAATTCCCTTCAAGTATCCCCTGCTGGGGCTAAGAGACTGTTCAGAGTAACCCTCTGGGTTGGAAAGGTTTGGGTCCTTTTGCCCAGAGAGGAGAAGACCTCTTTGGCTGCAGGGCTAAGCTGCCCTATGGACAAGGAAGACAAGGACACAGGCAAGGGGAAATGAAGCCATATATAACTGCAGAGAGAGGCACAGCTTCTCACAGAGGTATTACTGCTCAAACCAAAGAGTCAGCCGGACTACTTGAAAAGAAAGGAAGATCCAGGGCCACTGGCCTGGGACTTGGGAGCACAGGATACAATTTCCTGCTGTGTAACAGGCTTCTAGTTGGGCAAGTGTCATAGGGCCAGACATATAAAGGTATTGAAATCAATGGGAATTGGGTGCTCTAGGTGCTTTTAGGGTTGTTGGTTGTAGCTGTGTTGGTCTAAGGACATAGGCAGGCAAGGTCTTTAGGTAGATGTGATATCTTTTATTAGACCAACTGAGTAGTTGGAAGGAAGTTATTTGCAAGCTTTCAGGTGCAATCACCCTTCTTCAGGCATCGGTGCTTTCAAACTCTCAGGAGATGCCCATCTGTATCTTTAGGCACATTCATATTTTTCTAAAATATGGCCTTCCTTCAGGGCCATAGCTCTGCATCTGTAAAATGGACACAGCTAGCACTTCCCTACCTCAAGGAGAGTTGTGGGGAAAGGCTGCAGGGCACTCAGACACTGGGAATGGAGCCTCTGAAGTCGCTAAGACAGAGGATTAACTCATAGGCTGAATCCTTGGGAACCAAAGGGAGGGTCCGGTGTAGATGTTCCCATAGGCTCTTTCGGCCAAATGTTTATTAGGTGATTGGCTGCTGTTGCAGGGGGCTGGACTTGAAGACGATGACCCAGAAGGTCACGTTAGTTTTTGAAGTAGAGTATGAACACCAGGCAAATAGGGAACTAAGATCCAGAACTGTAGGCTGCAAAAGAAAAACCAGGGATAGGGAAATAGAGAGCAAAAGGTGCTGTTTTTTCATAAATCCTGGGCCGGATTCAGATCTGTGCGGAGAAAGCACTCTGGGCTAGGAACTGTCTTTCTGTTTTGTGTTTGCACAATGCCTCATTCAGAGCGGTCTGGAGTCAAGAGTAGCAATACACGTACGAGATTGTTTCCATCACGATGACTCCAGTAACTCCAAAGTAATAACTCCTGACTGACACCAGCCTAAGGGAGAGTGGAATTGGGCTGGGTGCCCTAAAATCTCGATCGTGGATTAATGCACTAACTCTTTTTTGTATTTAACAGCACTTGATAATCCTGGGGAACTTCATTTAATATCTACTTAAATAGGCTAAGCCAGTCATTCAGTATTAAATGAAGGGGTGGATTCCAGCTGCCCTAGCTCACTGCAGGGCTCGGTAGTTGATTATGGGCCATATTTACAAGGTTTTGCTGTTTGTCGTCAGATTTACAACCGATCTTTGAATGATTATTGTAACAATTCAGCAATTCTCACATGTTATTTTCCAAGGGACCTTCAACAAGTTCACAGAAGAATGACAAGTTTTTTAACTAATACGGCAGCAGAGACGCACAATAAATAATTGCTTGTCTACTGAAATCTGAAAGTGTGACTGGGCTGATACCTCCAGAATGTAACAGAAGAAAAAACAGTCCTTTTTATAAGCTAGTATTTTTCTCCAAACTGCCGAAACAACAGTGCTGTTCATATCCCATGGATGATGCAGAGATATGAAAGCATGACTGAAGCAGTTCAGGAAAAATGGAAATGAGCTGAGTTCATAACTAAAACTCAGTGTGATCTGAACCTCAAACTCACCTGTAGTTTCTCAAAGTCAGTTGGGTTATTTTATTCCATGGATCTGATTTTGCTGTGATAAGGATGGGAAGAGTTGAGATGCCAGGACAGAGGCTGTCCTTACTGTTCCTTTCATCCGAGACAAGCTACCTAGCAATCTTGTCAGAGACTGATCTTGCTTGGCTTTAGGCCCACAGAAGCCCGGATACACTGGAGGGAAGCTTTCTAGCTTGTCAATGAAATGTCTCAACTTTTTCAAACATCTCTCCTCCCTAGCCACGAAGTTGGCTTTGGATTTCTAACAGGCCATTTTACCAGACTGTAAAGTTATCGGTATTGAAATGGGGAATAACTGCCACTCAGAGCAGCCCCAGATCCAAAATAAGAGCAGCAAGGCAAAAACAGAAAGGGAGAAAAGACAAAAAAATAAAACCCATCTAAGTACAAAACAACACAACCTGGAAGCAATCTGAAATACAGCCGGTACAGAAACGCAGTGCAGATTACAGCCATGTTGTAAAAGTTCCCAAGATACATTTATATTCTCCTCAAACACTTGTCTAGGCAGCTTTGGGCAGGTCACCTAAAGCTTTATTTCAGCTTTCTCACTCCATCAGGGAGATGTCAACGTTTCAATTTGCAGGTTAGGAACAACTGACTGAATATGTGACTTTCTCCTCTGTCCCCTTGTTCATCCCACATACCCAAGTGGGGTTTTGCATATCCCAACTAATCTGTAAACTGTCTTCAGGAATAAAGGCATGTTCTCAGGAGTATGAAATCAGGGGAGCAAATGCTGGTATAAAACAGAAATCATGGGCGTGTATGTTGGTATGAAACAGGACACAAGTTCACGTAACATTTTTGATGTGGTTAGTCTGATATTTGCTAATAGGCCACTGCAGGAATTGATCTTTTCGCCATGGTACTGTGGGCCTCCCAAGCACATCCAGTCAAATACTTTGATATGAGAAATTGCAGATCTTCCCAAAAAAACTGTTACATTTTTCATAAAATGTTTTCCATTTGTCAACCAGTTCCATTTACAAAGCACAAGTAAATACATTCAAGACCTCCTTGCAAGAGACACCATATTCCTGTTTTGGCAGGAGCATTACTGAGCAGGTACAAAAATTAGGTTTAAACGTTTGGGAAGTCCTGAAGAAAGAGATGCCTCCTGCCTCTCTTTAGAGACAGGCAAGGGTGATCTTTGCTGGCCGGTCCAATTCTGCATTGTTCTGGCTCATGTACAGAGTGTACCGACACTCTGATAACAGCTATAAAATCCCTGTTGCAATGGGCTGCCAAGGGAGTCTTCTTTAGTAAAATCAATAAGAGCTGCTTTTTTAAGCTCTGCTCTGTTGACGATGGCACCTGTCTGCAGGCACAGATTCCTTTCGCACAAATACACGTGAAAGTGTTACAGTGCTGGGGGTGTGCGCTCTTCCAGCAATGGTCTGCTAAACCAGCAGTTCTCAACCTTTTTTGTACCAGGACCCTTGTGTAAACATTGATGGCAAGTCCTGGCCCAGGAAATAGTTTAAATAGAAAACGCCGCCCTGGCCCTGCTGGTGCCCCTCACTACCAACCCACTGTCCCTGGCCCCAGCACCCCTGGTGTGTGGGATGGGGGGACAGCCCTTACAGACTGGAGCTCTGCCAGCTTTCAAGGGAAAACCCAGGTTCCCACATTTTTCTCCTTTAAAGAAGGATCCATTTTTAAAGTGTTTTTATCCATTTTTAAAGTTTGTTTGTGACCCTTTCATACATTCCCGCAACCCACTTTTGGGTTGCGACTCACGGGTTGAGAAACGTTGTGCAAACAGCTCGTTCTGCTGGGTTCTGACACAATTTGTGCACGGCAGCAGGGAGCTGCTAGAACTGCAGCAATAACCCCTGCGCCTCGAAGAAGAGTTACTTGAAGAAAAAAATTACAGGGAAAACCTGTGATCACCTGGGGTTTTCACTGGGAGCTGCATGTATACCCTGTCTCAAGACTTTTGCCACTTATGTGAAGGCTTTACATCTCTATTGACATGCACAGAAAATCCTAATCAAATCCTGCCTCACTTCTAAATGCAAGAGGCCTCTTTCTGCAATGAGGATTTATCTCTTGTACCCATCTGTTGTTCTACAATCTCAAACCATTCATGTTATGACTTCTTCATTAAGGACAAAAGAGGTGATGTTGCGTTTTGATGTAAATCTTATTCAAAACGTGGGATACCAGCAGAGTCGTGTGACTTCATCTAGGATGGGGATGGGCAAAATGCGGCCCATGGGCCAAATACGGCCCGCCAGGCCATTCTATCCAGCCCGCAGGGCCCCTAAAAAATTTAGAAAATTAATATTCATCTGCCCCTGGCTGCCTGTCATACAGCCCCCAATGGCTTGCCAAAACTCAGTAAGTGCTCTCTGCCCAAAATAATTGCCCGCCCCTGATCTAGGACCGTTAAGAACCACCCTCCGAAAGGAACGCCTTGGCCAATTCAGTGATGGAATAACTGTTTATCTCTACAGGAGATAATCTGTCAATACTGACATAATGAAGCTGATCTTACCTGTCGTCTGTAAGTTTAAACCAGTATCCAGCTTGCTGCGTGGCTTTGTACTGATGAACAAATAACAGAGAACACACACTGTGATGATAAAAGCAAGCAGGACCACTGCTGCTATTGACAGTCCAACAAGGGCTCCAACACTGAGAAGACATAAAAGAAAGGGATTAAATACATAAAATGGTTGTGATGGCTGTGAAACACATGGCCAACATGCCATCTGGAGCTCACTTGTACTTAAGAGGGGAAGCAACTGTATACTATTATTATAGGCACAGATCTGGGGGGAAATCCATAGTATCCGGGGTGTAAAATGACAGCGTGTCATTGACCTCTGGGGAGCCACACCATTTAACAGTAGCTTGAGGGTTTGGCTCTTAAAGTCTTTATTATGGCATGTGTGCATATTGGTCTTGATTCAGATCTCACTGCTATAAATCAGAAGTAACACCACTGAAGCCAATGGAGTGCCACCCATCAGTGAGATCAGGGTCTCTCTAGGTGCCACGCATGCTCCCAAATAACTCAGCCACTGGAAACCTGTAGGAAGTGTGCATGGTATACTTGCAAATGGTATATTGTGCTGGGACATTTATATTTTCACTGTGGTGTTTTTAAGTGATATTACCTGTAACTTTTTAAAAACTGCAGAGACATAACTAAAGGCCTACTAGCATGCAGATCTATGCACTGTCCTTTAGAGATGGTGCCTTCACCGGTTCTTTCTAATCCAGTCATGTGAAAAGCTAGAAATAAAGCAGATGCTGCTCTAAAATGTTACACAGGAAAAGGGCTCTCGAGCTCCAGGAAGGCTGCTTAGCAATCCATGCAGCCTCCCCCAATCCTCAGCTCCCTTCCCAATTCAATGTCTCAGACTGAAAGTTAATTTTCATTGTAAAAAAAAAGTATGCTTACTTTAAAGCTTGGTAGGAGCACATTTGATCCAGTGTATGCATATCTGTCACTGGCTTCTCCCCCTCTAGCACTGAAATGTCTCTAGAACAGGCTAGCAACAGGGGTTTGCATAAAGATTAAATCAGCATAACCCCTTCTAGTTAGCTTGGCAGGGCAGAGTAGAGCACTGCAGTTTTTACCGTGCCTCTGTATTAAGGCAATGTGCTTTAAGGGCAGATCAGTGAAGTGCTTTTCCATCTCTGACCACCTGTCAGGATGCATTGCTGCAAAGGGGCAATGTGAGCCTAAAGATTTATTCATATATGCACAGCAGTAAAGGCATCGGACAACCAGGAACAACATACTGAGGAAGCAGGAAGTAAACCACCATGAATAGTACGTCATGGTGTAAACTAACAGAAGGTGAGATATCACTTCCTTCTACTTCCATACTCATATACCTTGTCTGTCTCAAGAAAAACGAGTGGTTCCTTGGTTCCCAGTTCTTCCTTCTATGTCTTTCCTTTGCTTTTCCTCCTATGGAGCTTCCTTGACATGCTAAAAGCCTAAATGCTATGATTCACTGTCCCGTCTCGGACAGTTTAATGTCACTATTAGCCAGCCCTGCATCCTAGAGCCCAACCTAAAAGAGGACATCCCAAGGATATGCCACCGCAGTCTTCTGATATCAGCTTGAGAACATGTGAAGCCCCCAGATACTAGTGTTACCACCACCTTTGCTTGTGATTTTGACACAGCGACAGAAGAAAAGGAAGAAAGGAGGAAGCTGTGTCTCGGTGGGCCCAGAACTTGAGAGACTTCAGGCTCTTGCTGATGCAAATGCATTTACTTGGCACTGCTACTGGTGGAAGCCACTTGATCCGCAGTACGGTAAAAACACTGGACCTCAGAATCTGTTTATATATTCAACGTGTCGAATTCTAAAATAGTGAAAAGCCAATATATAAAGATCGTGCAATTCCAATAGACAGGAATATACATGGGTCAGCAGCATCCACGCGACTGTTAGCTATCACGACTCACTGATCTCTCAGATCAATTAATGGGGTTTCATGAATCTGAGTTAATTCAAACTTGTGCAGACCTACATACCCAAAGAAAATAATCCATATCAACAAAATCCCTTCTACTGGGAAAGAATTACTCTGTTCTTGCCTGAGACTTTTGAAGGGCATTTGTCATCTGACTGAGCCATAGATTTTCTTGCATATATATTTTCTCTTCCTTTCAAGTTTTTATTTTTTGACTTGTTGCTTTGTTTGTAAGAGCCACTGTGTCTGGTAGTGGGGCAACGGGACACCGTGCATGTCCTTATAATCAGGGTGTCCAGGAAGGCTCTGAGCTTATTTCAGCTTATTCATTTGGGGTATTTCTAAAGTGGACAAATCACTAGAAATCAGTAGGGGATCCAGGCGCACAGCTACCAAACGAAGGGTTATTCTCATGGCAGAGTCCATTCCAGCAAGCAAGCAAGAAAAACTGCATTTATTTGTGTTGCCAGTACTAACCCGTTGGTGGGTTAGTTCTCTAAGAGTAGGAATAAGAGTTTGTAAAGGTAAAAGTTTCAAATAAAAGGCAGGCCCCATGCTCAGCCTTTTATAAAACTAGCAGATCAGGCCTGTACAAATAGCACACTCTTATTTATTCATGCATCCAGCTATTATCTTCCACTTGCAACTTGCTTGTACCTGCCACCATTCAGCTGTCCAGGAGGCACTTGTTGATATAGTACATCTGCTCCACCATGAGATGGCTTGTATAAGCTGGTCTGTGCATTATAAATGGAAAAGGAGGGTTTCTGCTGCAGAACTGCAGAGTACTTGCCATCACAGGTGGAAGGCTTGATAGTTTAAAGAATAGTGTATAACACCTGGAAAGACCTGACCTCTCCCATGCCCTTGTTAGTCTCTCAAGTGAAGAACCACTTGAAACCACGACAAGGACTGCATGAGCAAATGCAGACATCTAGAGAACAGCACCTTTCTGAGCTTATTAGAAGTGAAGAGAATACACCTATTTGATTCTGTTTTTAACCATCATACTTCACAACCAGATTTTTCGAGACACATCCAAGCCCCTTGAGGGCTACAGGCAAATCTGGATATGTTTAAAACATATCTGCTTTTCATTTGAGGCTTTTTAAAAAGATCTTATGGATTTTACCAGATTTATTCTGATTATTTGAAGATAGTTTCCCCTAGATAGTTTCTACACACTTTGACAAACTCAGCACATGCAGTAACTGTCAAACACATTATAAACAGCAGTCAGAAACATGCTCGGATCACAATTATGATCTGCATGCTGAATCACCACATAGCTTCCCAATAACCCTTTCCCCTAAAGCCCAGGTGTAAAGATGGGTCTTGCAACATGTCTCATAGATCCTACTGGTCTCCTGGGGCAGGGAATTTGGTCAAAAGTTCTCCCAACTTCACTCCTGCCTTTTAAACACAGGAGGTGATAAGGATTAGTACTGGAATTATAAAATGAATAAGGAACAGCTAAAGGGAAAATTACAATGAGTTACGGTGAAAGAGGACTTACCAGGGTGGAGGGAGATTACTAGGTCATTCCTCTGGGATTGGCTTTGGGACCACTCCTGTTTAATAGTTTCATCAGAGAAACTGGTGCAAAAACCAGGTGCATGTTTATGAAATCTATAGGCACTCCTCATACTAAGAGAGGATCATCCAAGAATTAGACAACCTTGTGGCTTGGACTGTGAAATCTCATAGGACAAGCTGCATAAGGTGCATTGACCAATCATAGGAGGACCCTGAGCTACCAGTGCAATGCAGCTGTAAAAATGTTATTCCAGGATTAAGCAAAGTATTTTTAGCAACATCAGGGAAACATTAATACCATTGTACAATGCACTGGTAAGACTTCATGTAGTATTGTATGCACAGTGCTGGCATCTGTGCTCGAAGAAGATGAATTTAAGCTGCAACAGGTGCAGAGAACCTAGCCTGGGAGAGGAGGTTAAGAAAGTTTGGTTTGGTTAGCCCAGCAAAACAAAGGTTGGGAGGGGAGAGGCCAACTCATCATCAATACATCAGAGGTAAACAGAAGGGCAGCAGAAGTGCTATTATAGTTAGAGGATAATACAAGTACAGGAGCCAATGGTCATGAATAAATATAGACTGAACCACAGAAGAAGGTCCCTAACCGAAGCAAAGTCCTGGAACAGCTTCCCAAACCGGGTTATAAGGCAAGGAACCCAAACTGGAGCTTAACAAGTTAATGGAAGGGACAGCAGGATATGGCCAGGGCTGGTCTTGAAATCGGGAATGACAGCTTCTGATCTGTGGCTGGTGATAGTCAATCTGTCCAAGGGTTGAACAGAGAAGTAGTTGTGAGAGCCCCTTCTGGACCACATTTCCCTCCCTCCTCTCTTCTTGAGCTTTTAATTCACTTGCAATACTTGGTCCACCATTATATATTGTATTTAATCCATTACACCCATGCTCCAAGGGTTCTGTTGGTCACCTGTAGGGGCCACAAAGAACTTTTTTCTCTCTTGAATACAAAACTTAGCTGCATAACCATCCAACAACAACTTTGTGTCTATGGAAACATCCTACCTGTAAACTTGCCTCAAAAATAATTTACTTCCAATAATTTATAATGTATACAAAAATACGTGGCAGCATGAGTATGTTATTACACTTGAAGTTATAAATGACATCCTCTTTTCCTAGCCATTATATTTTTAGGAAACTGTTGACGAAAGTTCAGAACAAATACAAAATAAGAGGGATATAAGAGTAGAATCATAGAATCACTGAGTTGGAAGGGACCTAGACAGGTCATCTAGTCCGAACCCCTGCCATGGGCAGGAAGGAGCACTGGGGGTGGTAGGGGTCATAAGACCCCAGCCAGGTGCCTGTCCAGTCTCCTCTTGAAGATCTCCAGGGAAGGTGAGAGCACCACCTCTCTGGGAAGCCTATTCCAGGCTCTGGCCACCCTTACTGTGAAGCAGTTCTTCCTAATATCTAACCTAAACCTCTCCTCCCTCCGCTTGTGGCCATTGTTCCTGGTGACTCCAAGGGGGGCCCTGGTGAACAGACTTTCCCCGAGTCCCTGCTGCTGGCCCCTGATAAAGTTGTAGGCAGCCACCAGATCCCCCCTCAGTCTCCTCTTGCGGAGACTGAAGAGATTCAGGTCCCTCAGCCTCTCCTCATAGGGCTGGCCACGGAGGCCCCCAATCATACGAGTGGCCTCC